CAAGGAGTTTCCCATGGTGGCCAACTGGTTGGAAAGCTTCGACTTGCCCTTGTTGAATTTCTCCAGGGGCGTCTGGACGACTTCATCCTCGCCACTCTTCTCGGCGGTGACGACTGGGAAGTCCTCGTTCCACGCAACGGGCGACTTGAACTTCGACCAAACATCCATCAGTTCCGACTTGCTCTGAGTGTTCTGGACCGAACTGAGGAAGTTCTCGACACAGTCGACAAAGAGCATCCTCGCGGCACACAAGTCCGCGAAGCCGGGCTTGCCGCCTTTCGTCTCCGCGCCCATGTTGTTGGTTTTGAAGAAGTCCGGTTTCACCTGATTGCGAATCAGGCCGACTAGCGAGCTCTCCATGCAATACTCGAAGAAGGTCGACTCCATCCTCTCCGCCGCCGGATACCTCTGTAGGCAGTAGACGATTCTCAACAGCTTGGAGTACTCTTCCAAGAATATTTTGGAAGAGTATCGCAGCGACATCGACTGGAGGATGGCGCGCGACTTCTCGGTGAGCACGCCCTTGATCTTGATCCTAGCAGGGTCGTCGCTTACATCGAAGCAAACCCGGACTACACACAGGAGTGGCTAAGGCTAGCCAAGGAACACAGCCGTCATGACCGAGGTGGTCACCGGCTTCAAGTCGAAGAGGATCGCCTGGCTCTGCGCGAACTTGACATGCTGCGCCACCACGGTCGTGCCCACCTCCTTGGAGAGGAACTCGTACCGGACCAGCCAACTGAGGAGCGACTCCCCATTGGCCTGCCTGCTTGTACCCGTCCGCCTCCGACTCCAAACGCCGCAGATGGAGCGTTACGCTCAAGCCCGCTTTCAGCAGCGCTTTCGTTCGCGGCCCGTCCTTCGCCTTCAAAGCGCGGGCGACTGCTAAGTACCAGGCGTTCACCGTGGTCATCCCGTTCAGGATCGGGTAGCGGGCGACTTTCAAAAGCTTCTCCAGCGACCCGGCCGACTCCTCCATCGACTTGGAAACCCACAGGTGGATCGTCGTCGGGAAGAGGAACTGACCATGAACCTTGGCCGACTTGCCAAAGAGCTTCGACTCAAAGTCCTCCATGCTTTCCCAGCTTACTGCATCGAAAAAGAACTTGGACGACTCCTGTCCCATCGCACACCAAAAGATGCTGGCACCTGCTTCGTACATCTTGTTCTGATGGAGCGACAGGAGCGCATGCTCGTCCTCCCACATCTCCTTGTAGCTGGCGGCCGACTTGGAGTCTATCCGCAAAGGCTTGATCGACTCCAGGGTGTCCACCATGCTGAGTTGCAAATCGGAGTCGTCCTTGTAGGTCCGGACGGAGTCGAGGAGGTGCCACTGCACCTAAGTGCGTGCCCAGACACACCCCCCCCAAGGCTACAGGGCATACGACTCACATGTGACTTATTCTGCAAGCCGGAATACCCAGGAGACTACTTTGCTCATCGTCTCGCGACTGTCCTCGAAGGGCTCGGGTTCCCTCCAGTCCCACGTTGGAGCTGCAGCGGCCGACACAGGCCCAGCGAGTCGGGCGCTTTTGGCAGGCACAGCAACAAGTGCTGCCTCTGGCGCAGACTTTTCATGCTTCCTCTTGGGACCGCCAGCTGCCATGTCCACCGCACCGCACAGTAGGCGCTCCGACTCTGCGACTACTTCTTCGACTCGAAACGACTACGGAGAAGCTTGCATCACACTCACTTTCTTTCAAACAGACCAGGACAGCAACGTGCGGGGCTGCCACTCTGCAGGTGAGCATATGAACAGATTAAGTTCCACACTTGCTCGCGACAAGGCCCCTGGTCCCGCAACGGACGACTTCGAAGCAAACCTGGCCGGGGTGAGGTCTATTGGCATCCTTCCAAAAGAATTCGAATAGACCCATTTTTTATGTAGAAAATGGGTCTAATGATATTCTGTTGCAAGGATGCCATTTGACTCCGAATAGCTGGCCTGCTTTGCACGTCAAATCACACTCGTCCTATCGGATGCCATTAGACCCATTTTCCACATAAAAAACCGGTCTAATAAAACCCCTCCGGTTTATGTCCCTGTCGGACTGGTGATCCTGCACTGCAGCATGAGTGCCCGGCCTTGTGCGTTGTGATCACGGATACAGGGACCATGCCTGGCAAATTTAAGCATAACAGAAGCCAGCCACTAAGAGCGATGAGATTGAACTCTCAGTGAATCTCAGCACTCTGCGAGGACGACTGAGCGACTTGTTGAGAAGGAGGCGGCCCCAAGACGGCCACGTCGCCGGTGTTGATGTACTTCGTGATGTTCCCACCGGGAACTGCCTGGAGGCAGATCCACTCGTTCCTGCACACAGGGAGCGATTTCCAGGAACTGGGCTCCGGCCATCGGTCCTGCTTCCGGCTTTGCTGCGAAGACGACCTCGGAGAAGCTAAAAGACTCAGAGGCTCAATGGTGGGAGGCTGCATCGCTAGACCGTCAAAGCATGCAGTGTTGGGCCAGGATTATTTTCTCCCCGCTGCCTTTCGACTCTGCCACATGAAACATGAAACAGACTCGACTGAGTCTCCGTTGCTTGAAGCTCCCATTGCAAGCATGTGCGACTACCGTCATCCCAGTCAGGATCAAACTTGCCGACTCGGAAAATAGACGTGTGAAGCTCTTGCTTCGGGATCAAAATAAACATGTTTCTGGGCAAAGTGGAAGGATGTTACAGTTTCTCCATTCAGCCGCTCGACTCCTGTACCCGAGATGCAAAGGTGTCTACTGTCGTGTACACTACGACTCGCTTGTGCAGGCCCCTTTGTCGCGGACCCAGCAGCAGTAGCAGTTGCTCAATCGTGCGATGCACGCAATGACTCAGTTATCAAATATTGGTAATTATTACAATTAAGGACTTGAATGCTGCCAGTGCAGACATCGACTTTTAGGAGTCTTGCACTGCCGCTGACTCACTTAGGAGGCGACTCTGATACTCCAAGCCCTTCAGCTCTTCCGCGGCGATGTAGCGAAGGTCAGGGGGCAGCAGCAGCGGATCGTCGTCCAGCGACTGCACCTGAGTCTGAGAATTGGAGTGAGTGCAGCTCTTGGCACCTCACCTCTTTGGCCAGGGCGCGATTTTGTTCGCGACCGCCACAAGTCTCGACAAGTTCTCGTTGGCGAGCTGAAATTTTGTCTTGCCACTATACCGGTCCCTGATACTCACTCGTCTCGGCGTCTTCCAATGGAAGTCCGATCTGAAGTTGGACGACTGCCGTATCTGCCTTAATCAGCGGCATTGGAAACTTCACTAACACAGAATGCGAGACGGCACCCAAAGCTGAACTGCAGCCAGCCATCATTTTCAGAGCATCCTGGGCGTCGTCGTCGACTTTGCGCCTCTTCTTTGGGCTTGGCCTGGGCTAGAAACTAATAAAGCAACTCCGTCCAATTTGCTAAGCACGAGCAGTGATGAAGGCTATATAATCCATTTGACCAGATTCGTTGATACTGCTTCGGCATCATGGTCCTGGACGACTATCTGGTGCTTCTCGTCCCTGCACGTGCCGTCCTGTAGAATCGCAAGAAGTGACTTGCAAGGTGATAACACCCGTAAAAATCCTTCGCCTCAATCGCTTCGACTGCAGCCGACTCAGCTTCAGCTGTCGCCGCTCGTCGCTGGAAAAAAGAACACTGCTGCAGCAACACCTTGGATGCGACTGACCAGTGACCAGTGCCTTTTACCAGAGTCCAACCTGGTCGGAAATGCAGTCGGGCGGCTGTCAAGCGCTGCACAGCGGGGTGCCGTTGTGCAGCGGATCGTTCGGCTAGGCCTTGATGGCAAGATTTACAAAGCAACTGCTCTACGAAGACACAGATGGCCCTTGCAGTCACGGAACGTCTGTGGTACGTGAGCAAGCGACTGATCGACTTCGCCTGCTCGCGGAGAGTGCTGTCCAGGATCTTGACCTCAATTCTATCCATGTCACGGACTGACCTTAAGGCAGAATGATGAGACACGTTTATTTAACTGCGGTCGAATCACACCAGCAGCATGGGCGACTCGATCGAGGACATACTCTATGCAGTCCACACGCTTCAGTCTGACCAGGCCGCCCCTCGTCCGACTTTCGTTCCAAGACGGACAAGAAACGAAATGCTGCAGCACCTGCACATTCCGGATCAAAGATGCTTCCTTGCTGGCCGTGGGTGGGACCAGGAATGATTTGGACTTTTTCAGGCTGTTGATGACCTCCTCGTCATTCTTCATGGCCTGGGCAGGGGATAAACCCAAATCGCCGAAACCTGGAACCTGGAAAGCGACTGCACTGCATCCTCCGCCGAGCCGCCAGGCCTCGATCCACTCCCGCTGTTTGGCTTTCATGTCGACTTGCGACATGGCCCAAAGCTGCAACACCCCACGAAAAAGGGTCGAACCTGGACAAGTCTACTAAAGAGGGTCGACTTGGGCTCCAGGACAGAAGGTCGACCGAGGTCGCCGATTGCAACTCTCTGCCAGCTTGAGAGCGACTGCATCGCACAAACCGGGAGCATGTCATGAATCCGAACAGTCCAGTCTACGCTGACGATCCCATATCAAAGCCATCACGACGGTCACAAGTGAAGTGTGCCACGGCTGATTTTACGACTCATATCGACCGCCGACTGTCTGCTCACGGCTATGTTGCCGACATGCGGTCGTGTTGTGCATCGACTAGGCAGGTTTAAAATATCAGTGCTGCGTGGCCGACGACTGAAGGTCTGGAAACGACTGGTGAATCAATCGTCTTTTGAGTTGCCACGAAAAGCAATGCATACAATTAGAGTCAAGAAGTATGTCACTGCAGACATAATTCAGTGTTCGACTCACAGCAGCACCGGAACCACTACTCTAGCAGCCGTGTCGACTGAATCAAGTTGGCTCCATGACTACTTCTAGCAGCTGTGTCGACTGCAACAGGTTGGCCGGGCGACTTCTAGCAGCTGTGTCGACTGCAACTTAGCATAGGTTGCCTCGACTACTTCACCGCAGGCACAAACTGCTGCAGCGACTTCACTGCTCCTTCCCCGGCGCCGCCGGCACGATCTCCTCCAGCGACTTCACCTTGTCCAGCACCTCCCTGATCGACTTGGTGTGCTGATAGGAGTCCTCCAGCGCCGACTCCATCTCTTTCCGCTTGCTGCTGAGGAGCTCCCGGAAGCTGAGCGACTGCTGCTTCATGAACTCCAGCTTGGCCTGGCCGCCTGTCAGGCCGCCGAGGAACTTGTCCCTCCCGGCCACATCCCTGAACACCAGCCTCCAGTGGGGAAGCAGGCCGTTCACACTCGTCGCATAGAACTCCTCCTGGTTCAGGAGGTCGACTATGCTCATCTTCAGCATGGCGACTTTGAAGGTCGCCGATCCCTGAGCGAAGAGGTCGACGTCGCCGATGTGCCTCGCCAGAGCGGCGAAGCGGAGCTCCGAGAAGGCGACTACCTCCGTGGGGCGACTGGGGAAGTCCTGCTCCGACTTGTCCTTGAAGAGCTTGTTCAACTTCAGATCGTAGGTGGCAGTAGAGCTGGACAAACCCCGGGGGCGGCGACTCCACGATCTGCTGGACATCCAGCCTGCACCTGTAGAGGTCGACCGACTGGAAGATGCCCGACTGCTTGTAGAGGCCGAGCCCGTTCTTCGAGTCTTGGTCGCTCAGAATGAGCGACTTGTTGAGCAGCAGGCGACTGCCCAGGACGGCTATGTCGCCGTCGTTGATGTACTTCGTGATGTTCCCACTGGGAACTGCCTCCAGGCAGATCCACTCGTTCATGATCTCCTCCTGCACCCTCGTCGCCTTCTGGGCCGGAAGCTTCGACCCGGACCCGTCAGAGAACGATGCCTTCAAGGTCCTTGCGTTCCGCACCGTCATGGCCTGGGCGGCAATTAGTCTCAAAAATTAAATTAGCAAAGCCACACTGACTGTCACTTCTTGCCGTCCGAGATGCTGTGACTGCCACGACGGGGTCGGAAAACATCTCCGAGGCGGGAATGACGAGCCCGGAGGAGCATCGACTGACGAAGGCGGACCACTGCTTCGTGCTCATCATCAAATAGAAGGCCGCGGACGACGCCATGTCGATGGAAGGGGCGACTGCGGAGGGACGACTGGGCGACTTGTTAAAACAAGAGAGGTCGACTGCAGGAATTCCAATCAAATCACACTTGGCCAACGAACAGTCCGCACTGCAGCAACCCACATGACGCAACTTCTGGAAGGCAAGCTGCCAAGGTCCCCGCCGTCGAGCGACGAGAATCACAGCTGACCGGCAAGTATATAGCCTCAGAGGGAAACAAGACTACGAAGCATGATCCTGGAAGCAAGAGGTGCAGCTCGCGAACCAAGACAGGATTGAAACAACACCAGCCTGGGCCTAGTTTTAAATCCACAAACAAAACCATTGATTAGAAAATTCTCGTCGTACAATTTGCAATGCAAGCTGTGCCCGCCGAAGCTTCCATTACTGCACTCTGTCTCCAGGGCCTGTGCTGTAGGCAGTGGCACCGAGAGCGACTGGAGCCTGCGGAGCAAGCGGGTCTAGGATCACTGTCACCGAAAGCCTCAGATTCTGCTCACTCCAACATGCACAAGATTCTGGCCGTCTCACAATAATTTGATTGGTCTGCTTTGGCTGGCTGAAAGCGAGAAATACTGACTAGTCAGATTTGCAACGTCGATTTGCCGCCCTAGCACTGCAGGCCTCGGCCTCGACCACCGCCTGGACGTGTCCGGGCCTCAGGGTCGTCATGTCAATGTTGATTCATGACACAATACTCAGCAGCCACTGCCCTACATTTCTGACTCCACCCAGCACCTCGACTAGTGTCTGCCAAAAGTACTCAGCGGGACGACTGCAGGAAGGTCGGCTAAGTCAAGGAAGCAAGTTGTGGCAACAAGGTCCGGGCGGTAGCACCAAGGAGAGCAAAACCTGGCCAGCCAACTGTTCGATGATTCGACTGCTCCGATGCAGGCTGCGGCTACCACAAGAGCTCAGTAGACAGTCAACTTCCCAAGAACTACCCTGACAAGTTCAACTCTGTCTGCCCGCTTAATTCGTGGAACTCCAGGGCCAAGGCAATGTGGAAAGACGGCCGGCTGGTGCCTGCCAGACAACGGACAGTATGATTTCACCGCAAGGTATTTATCTAACATGAGCTACACCACCAAAGCATAGGCGCACAGTTCGGCATTTTGACGTCGCCAGCAGGTCAACTGGCTCGACTAAATGGTCGACTGAACTCACGAAAGCTCGACTGGTGCCTCAAGGCAGGATGTGATTGCCACGAGGCGGCTCGACTGAAAAACACAAAATGTGTCAGTCTCAGCAATTAAGTTGGGGCGGTCGCATCAAGGAGAGCAAAAGCAGACGACTGACCTACTCATCTCCTTGTTATCAGTCTTGTTTTGCTTCTTTGGTCAGTCCTCTGACTTCTGGACAATGAATGATGATATGTTTTCTAGTCTGTCACGGCGGCTCTCCTGGAATCGACTAAGCCCTCAGTGAGTCACGAAGGTCGCGGCGACCCACTCTGTTGGCCGACTCAGTCACTGCGTCGGCCATGGCTGGTTGTACCAGCCCTGCCCGTCGCGGCGCCACTCGCCATTCTGGTCCTGCAGATGTATTAATTATTATTAATTTAAATATTATTCGGACATGTACTTTAAACGTCGTAGCTGCAGGTATTACAGCCTAAGCAATGAAAAAACAGTGACAGCAATAATACCACGCTTCAAAACTGACACTCAATACAACAAAGACTCCGACCGGTACATGTTCGGCCGGTAGTCGTTTGGAACTGAGTTCCAAAATCCCTGCTCGATTTGGTCGTAGCGGTCCGGCACCCACTGACCCGATCTCGCCCACTGGCCCCACTCGCGCTCGGGCATCGACTGTGACCAGGCAGCCGGCTGTTCTCGCACTTAGTTCAGGGAAGAGAATCTCTTATTATGTGTTCTATTCAAAACTTAAACTTAGGTTTGGTTCGAGGAACCTGAAAGTTCAGCCGAAACCCTAATCTAATAGTAACTTGATCTAACCCTTACATCACAGCCGAGCGACTCAACAACCTGGTCTTTTCTTGCACCCACGTCATGATCCACTGAGAAGTGGAGTTCCATTCTCCACGAGTGCATTTGTCCACAAGTTCGGCTACGTATGCAGCCCCCCGAGGACTGGGGTGAAGTTGGATCCCCAGGACCGCCTGATGCTGATTAAATACAAGTAATTTTGTTATTATTATTATTATTAAGTTAAGACTCAGACGAAAGGCAGGACTTACAAGAACAAGGAACAAGGAACGACTGACTGAATGCGACAAAGACACGTTGAACGCGAGGGCGTCTGCCCCCTGCCTCAACAGAACGTCTGCTGCAGCGGGCGACTCATGGAAGAGACGACGGACGACCTGACGGGTGATCTTAGTTTTTGCTCTTGAGAATCTGTCCAGGTCATGAACATGAATTTACTTGGTTTCTCAGGTAAGAAACATATGATTTAATACCTTCACTGTGTTGTACTGCGCATTGTTGGTACTAATTTAACGTTGGTAGTAATTTAACTATTATTTTTTTATGATTCTGCATTATTTTTTTCACCGGCCTCGATTCGCGGAACCTGCCACTGCTGGAGCGGAGCGAGGTAGCCCTTGGCCGTGGCCTTCGGCTGGTTCGGGTCAGCATGGCCAACGCCGTCTGCAGTTGCTGCGACTGGCTGCTGCTGTTGTGCTTTTGCAGGGGGCGGGTTCAGGTTGGTCGTCCAAGCAGGAGGATCCGCCGGGTTGTCGACTGGCGGCCGCGGCGGCGGCTCCTTGGTGGGGGGTTGCTTCGGGTCGGCCGGGTTGGTTGCCTTTGCTTTGGGGTCGGCCTTTGCTTTGGGGTCGGCCTTTGCCTTGGGGTCGGCCTTTGCCTTTGGGTTGACGACTGGACCGGGGCCGGCTGCCTTTGCGACTGGTGTGTTCGGGTCGACTGGGGCTCGCTGCGGGCCGACCGCCTTTGGCTGGGCTGTGTTGTCTAGCCCGGGTGGATTGTTGGATTGTCGACTGGGCCGGCTGCCTGTGGGTTGGTTGGAGCCCTTGGGTCGACTGGTGGAGCTCCGGGTTGCGACTGAGCTGGAGCTGTCGACTGGGCAGGGGCATCGGGCCACTGCAGGGCTTCGCGACTGGCATCCCGCTGCTGGCGGCGCGCTCGCCATCTGCGGAACCTGTCGCGGAGCCACTGGTCCTGCTCGGCTCTCTCGGCGATGCCGTGGACGCCCCACAGCGCCCTGTCGCCACACGGTCCCGGAAAGAAGGGCGGCCAACTTGGGTCCTTCTTCTTCACTGGCGGCTCATCCGACTCGTGCTCGCGTCCGTGGGCCTCCTCGGGAAAGGGGCTCGCCCCTTTGCGCCCTGAACGACCAGCAGAACCGCATCCTTTTGGGGTCTCGCTGCCTGGACAGTCGACTGAGCTCCTCCCGCTCTGCCTCCAGGCTCAACGCCTCCGGGCGGGACGACTCCCCCGCTGCCACGGCCTCCTCTGCTGGCCTTGTCGACTCCTCTGCGGCCCTTGTCGACTCCACTCTCGCCACGGTCGACTCCTCTGTTGCCAGCGTCGACTCCGCTCTCTCTGGAACGGTCGACTCCTCTGCTTGCCTTGTCGACTCCGCTCTCTCTGGAACGGTCGACTCCTCTGCTGGCCTTGTCGACTCCGCTCTCTCTGGAAC